GAGAGAGAGAGAGAGAGAGAGAGAGAGAGAGAGAGAGAGAGAGAGACCAAAGGGTTCCCTTTTCATCAATTTAGGGGCCCCCGCAGGTAACTCAAATGACTCCGACAATGCACTTCGACATTGTGGAGGCATTGAGTGCCGTCGCTTCAGCAAGCAGGGTGGCCGCATCACAATGAGAGAGGTGGGAACAGGCGACCAATATATTCTCACCCGAATAGAACGCCCGGTCATTATATCTGTATCTGGGCCAACTTTCTGTCTACATACGGGGATAACGACACCGTGTTCTATTCGGCTGAAGGCGGTAGGTGATGTATTGCTTTGGTCCACGTCGAACGTGTGAACTGCCACCTTGTCCGCGCTCCTCCGCTGCCATGTCTTTCCCCCCCGCAAATTCCCTGCTGCTTGTCTGTTTGCCGTGCAGTTTGGATGCCTTGCCCGTGTCGCTTCGTGCCTCGCTGTATTGTGACCTTTGGCCTTGCTACCCATCCGCATGCTTTGCCTCTCCCTGCAATTTGATTGTGTGGCGTGTGGTTTTGCCAGCTTTGTCCCGTACCGTGCGAGATGGTCGCCCCTCAACACGGCTCTCCAACTCGAGTTGCAGCTCTCCTTGTGCTTCACTGTGTTGTTGCTTTGCTGCGCGTCCACTTGAACCACTACCGTCTTCCCCCGAACACAACGCACCCTCATCTTGGCTGTACCGGACCGGAAAGATAGCTTGGATACGTTCACTTTCAGGGTGCGTTATGTTCGGGGGAAGACGGTAGTTTTCGATGCAGTGTGCTTGTGTGTTGTTGTGCAGTCTGTCTTGCTTTGTTAGCACTTCCCTGCGCTTCCCTGTGCTGTTGCTTAGCTGCCCATCTGCTTGCCTTGACTTGTATTGTAGTTCCGTGCGGTGTACCAGTTAACCTTGAGAAGTTTGGCTGCTTTGTCAGCGACTCAGCGCTGCTTTGTGCCTCGCTGCGTTGTTGCTGTGCTGCTTTTGCTGCAGCAGCGTCCGCGTTCAGCCGGGGATAAAAGAGTCCATGATGCAAAAAGCATCAAAATATGGGGATTCCGCAGATTGTCGACGGTTCAGCCTCCTGATGAGTCGCTGCGAGTCCTAGGAAACAGTTTGCCATTGCACTTGGGTTTTTTTTCGTACCTTTTCTTTTTCTTTTTTCTTTTTTTTCAATTTTTTTGGTTAAAACAGGTCCTTATGGTCCTGGCTCCATACCCATTAAGGGGAGCTTCAGTCCGGTTCCTATTCCGCTGGCAAGTAAAAAACGAACAGTATTACATCGTGTACCCACTACTCACGCACCGCTCCGTCCGGCTGACGGGTCCCCTGAACAGCCTTAATTACTCCATTTAATGGAGGATTCACTGCCAGCTTGCCTTTCTCTGTTATTCCTCTCAGGTTCTTTTTTTTTTATCTACAGAACCTGTCCGCTAAACTTCAATGCAAGGAAACCAGAGATAGGACTACAGTGCCCCTCGTGCTCCTTGGACAAGTGGTATTGTAGATGGGTCTGTCTTGTATGATTCACTCTAGCGTCGTGTCCACTGAAGAGCTGTGTGAGGGTTGTCTTCAGGTCTTTGTGCACGGCCTTCTCACTGGAGGTGGCCGTTTTGAGTCCGACACACAGTTGCAATGCTGTTATTCTTTTCTCTAAATTTTCTTTGCTTTTCTTTTCTTTTTCTGTCTTCTATGATTTTGACTAGTGGTGTGTCCACTGAAGAGAGTTGTGTCTTCAGGTCGTTGCGCACGGGCTCCTCCTGGGAGGCGGGCGTTACGAGTGCAACACGCAATTGCACTGCTGCTATTTCAATGGGTTTTCTACTTTTCCACTTTTCAAACACATCATCCCACATTCAAACGCGCACACACAGCCAGGCCATCTCTTTAAATTTCTTTGTTCCAACTTCACTTCGTGCCCGCAGGTGACAATTTTTTTTTTTTAAATATAAAAATAAAAAATGTTGCATGCCACAAAGAGAGGATTTACTCTGAGAAAGTGCACGTAAAAACCACCAGTACTTGACCCAGCTATCGGCCGCCGCGCGCGCCTTTCGTGCTTCTTGGGGTACCGGACCACAATGGCTGGAAGCGCCAGCCAAAAAATTTTCAAAACGGTACCCCGGCGCTTCCGCGAAAATTGCCGCGCCGGGGCATTCCAGGCTCGCCATTGATAGCTGGGCCAAGTACTGGTGGTTTAAGTGTCAGAATACTTAAACCGCCGAGTAAACTTGGCCCAGCTATCGATGCCGAGCCTGGACGTATTAAAAGCCAAGTTCTTTAAACTTCTTTTATTCGTTGCAAAGTGTTCACAAATTCACACTAATACGCGCATGGCTTTTACTACCATCTTCACCCGAGTACAAGGTACGGTCATTATTGCTGTACCTAGACTCAAAGTTGCCCCAAATACAGCGATAATGACCGTACCTTGTATTTGGGTGAAGGAAGTAGCCTTTTAGTCTTTGAGACATGCAAGCATATGAATACTTGGCAGGACCGACCAGGCAATCAGAATACGGAAAACGCGTCTACTTGCTTGCAGGTGAMAAAAAAAAAAAAAAAAAAAAAAAAATTGCATGCCACAGTGAGAAAATTCATTACTGTTAGAAAAATTAGAAAATGCATTACTGTGAGGAAAAGCAGGTTAAGTGTCAGAATATGTGTTGACACAGTGAGAAAATGCATGACTATGTTCGACCAACGTGCCATCCCTTCATAACAATGCTGTTGCTTGGAGACGTCGGGCATGCAGACTCAGAGACGGAGTTTCTTGCATGAATCTGACACAGACTTATCGTCAGATTCAGCCAAAAACGTTGCGAGCAGCTATTCCTTCTGAGGAAACAAATACTTTCTTTTTTTTTTTTTTTTTTTTCAAAGAGGGGGCAGCCCTTGCATTTGGCTCAGGATTCGAGCGCATGACCTGTTTATTGATAGATACATGAGTGTAGTAGTCAGCCACGTCGGCAGGGCCTACCTTTTCGCTTTTTAATTCGGATGCGTGTCATCCTCTTGTGCATGGGCCACGCGAATCTTCTCTGTATCATTCGAATTTTAACGGATGTCATGGAGGACAGAGGACACAAATAGTCTCACAGGATTCAAGCTCGTGAACTTTC